GACTCGATGATCTTAGAGGTCTTTTCCAACCTCAATGATTCTATGATTCTATGATTTGCTACCTCCACAACTTCAAATGTAACTTTTATCAGGTTATAAAGTATTTTCTCAGAAATTATGTTTCTGTATTTTCTTCAGGGATTATCTTGGTATTTCCAAACTCCTACTATTTCAAAGTCTCTTTGAAACTATACAGCAGTACACTCCACACATCAACCTAGAAACATTTTCAGCACAAAAAAAAAGACCTAACAAGCTAACAACATCTCTTCCAAGAAGCTGAATTGACAAGTTTATTTCCTAGGACCCAGCTGAGCAGGATACTTCAGGATGTATTTAAGCAAGCACAAGTGTAACCCCAGAGAGTTCAATGGGACTAGCCACATCTCCTACATTATATACACACTTAATTACCCTGTACAGAACCCCTTGATGCTTTTTTCACTCCAGTTTGTCTAGGTTCCAGAACCAATAAAATGTACAAGCTTCCCAGGTGACCTCTTGAAGACTTCAGGCGAAGGAACTAAACTTTGAGAAATATATCACCTTTGAAACAGCTTATGCTTACAGGAGTACAAAAAGTCAGTTACACTCTACAGGACTGTAGCTGAAAAATAGTTCAGGATTATTTTCTTCATCTAGTGTAACCTTTTCAAATTAAGTTCCAATTTCATGCTATAAGAATATATTTTATGGCTCTTTCCAGTTCTGGCCACATGGAACGCTACTTTATAGGATATAACCATCTGCTAACAGAAGAGAAGATATTAAAGCAAGTAATGGTACAATTATATCTCTGGAAATAAGATATTCTACTGAAAGTTTATACCAGGAGGACCCTATAGAATGCACCAGACTTTATATAACTTTTGGATTGTTGCCCCCTCTCAGCAGGCTAAACTACTAAACTAGTGTCAAGCATCAGTTATTGATAAGCCACCTTACCCAATCCTCTTCCTCTTGTTTTAGCTTATTTTCATACTCACATCAAGCCTGAGGTGGCATTATAAATAGCTTGTCTTGTGGGTAATATGAGAGTTGGGGAACAGAGTAACATTTCCGTAATTCCTAAATTTCTGTTCATGGTTCATATCCTCCCTTTCACGTTACTCCCAACTTTGACTTCACTGCTCTTGAGCAGAAGTAAGAGAAGATTCAAATCAGCACTGTTTTCCTGGAAACAATGGATTAGGATGAGTGATTTTCAGCCTTTGCACCGTGGTCATAACATAACTGCAAAAAGCAAAGAAAGCTTCCCAACAAAATTTTTCACACCACGGCCGGAAAACTATGCAGGGCATGCAAATTGGAAAAAATCAAAACCTACTGGGGGCTAGATAAAATTTAACAAAATTGTAATGTATTAGAAAGAGAGCCTACTGGATCCCTCCTTATTTCTTCTCGCAGACACTGCAGGACCACCATCCCATGCATTTCCCAGTGTTTGATTCCCTTTTCCTTCCTTCCTTCTGACTACACAAGTCTCAGGTTCTTCTACCTCCTTAAGTTTCCCCAGGATAAAACATTCATTGCCAGGAAGGCAGGAACAATAAATCCAGATTTGTTACTGAGAACAAAAGGGAGATAGCAGAGTTTATTCAGAGAGCGAATGACATGAAGAGACCAACTGGTAGGTACTGCCTGTACAGTTATAAGCCTGCAATTTCCAACTAAGATCCGTATCCTCCTGCACTGAGCTCTATCCAGATAACAGTGAAAAGAAGGTTCCTGCCTTGAACAACCTGCAATTTAGAGCACAACAGAGCTTCTCATCATGTGGTCTTGTCCTCACACAAACCTGCAAAGATTTCTAAAAGATCCTCAGTGAAATTGCAGCTGATTCCCTCTCTGGGGTATACAGGAGAATGGGGATGGGAGTTTTCTCTGAACTTTTTTTTGCTGGGAACTTCGTCTGTCTAAAGCCAGGGGTTCTTTTGTCAATGAGATCTCACTCTTAGAGAAAGTGGAGCATAAAGAATCTGGTTTTAACCGTGATGATAGATAGGGTTTGGTCATCCATCATCTTCCAAAGAAAAAGAAGAAATAAATGAAAACACCTAAATTCTAGTCCTCTTCAGGTTACAAGATCACCCACATTTCCATTTCCTACATGGGAGGTTCCTGCCCAGGTGCTGAGCTGTCTCCACCTTTCTGGACGTGAACCTTGCATGAATGTCCAGCAGGCTTGCCAGACGCCATGCAAACCTGTCACTCCATTCTTGATAGTTAAGTAAATAAAGATATATATTATAATAAAAAAAAATAAAATCTGTGTCTCGAAGAATAACAAAGAGGGCTGTTCCAGAATAAACAAATATCTGACATTCTTCTAAGTATTAATCTTTTACAAGGCTTTGAAGTTTGACAGTGCTATTTCACAAATTCCTATGAGGCTGCTTTACTGCTAGGCTAGAAATCTGACTGTGGAACTAAGGAGGAAAAGAAGAGAAAAATCCCCAAACAAAGAAGAAATATTTTAGTCTGACTGGTGAGTATTTCTATTTCTTGCTGCCATGAATTTTCTGTATCTTGCAAATATGGAGGGGAGATGACACCTTCCAAAACAAATGGAAATAACTCAATTCCAAATCTGTTATGACAAATCATCTGCTCTCGACTTTCCAAAAAAACTCCCATATTTTCAGTGAGTTCAATCAAACTTTGTATAAAGCGTAAGCTCATTTTTCAAGCCATGATTTACCACCTCTGCATTTCTTAACAAATTTTCTCTTCCCCATTCTTTTCTATGTGGCAGTTTTGTGACTTTTTAATAATGTCTTGGCCACCTAGCAGCACTGGCAAAAGGGAAAAGAATTCCTGTAAGAGCAAGTAAACCCCTCTTCGATGTGACACAGAAATGCCTACACTTCATTAACCTTTATTATAAACTAGTCACTGGAAAAGTTACTTTGCTAGAATCCACACTATGGTTTCACTCTACAAACCATGAAATGTCAGAATGCTGAATTACAGTAAAATACTGCTCACCTCCTTATGAACCCAAGATTAATGATACGGTGCAGAAGGGAATAGCAGTGCTACTAGGAGCGTAACAGGTCACAATCACTTCTAAAATAGCTCATCAAGAACAGGCAGCAAAACATCACAGATGGTTCCCAGAACTAAAGTCCCCCTTCTCAACCTACCCATCACTGAGACATCGTATTCAACCAGCAGAGTCGCTTCCTGTCCACATTGTTTGAGAATACTCATGGCTTCAGCATGTGTCGTACCCAGCAGTCGGATCCCATCAACACTCAGCAGCCTGTCCCCGGGTTTGATTGTGCCCTCTCTGAAGGGAGATTGAAGGAATGGTCTTTATTAATATAAGATAAATTGATTTGGAGATAATACCATTTTTATGCAAAGCGATTCTCTCACACCCTTTCTGACATCCATCCTTCTTGCCTTAACACTTAACATTTACTTTGATGGTGAGAGCATTCAGAGGGCGCAGAGGAAAGGAAATTGCTTTAATTGGAAAGTCAGCGACTGGAAAACAGCTTAACACATAGCTAAATAATCAAGTCATGTTAAATTGCAACTAAGTATAGCTTCTGCTTCAACATATGCTTTCTTTCTGCCTTGTCCACACAACTCCTCTTTCACACATAAACACCTCCTCCCCCGATATTTTCTTAAAAATAAATACGAGGTGCAAACACATGGGTGAAGAAACAGATTGCAAAATATGAATGTCCATTTACTGATTTTCTTCAAAAATATCCCTTACTTGGATAATTCCATTTTTCTTTTCTTCCTACCTAAAAATAATTTGGCTATAAATGTACACTGTCTCCCAGGCATATCTCATAATGTATTCAGAATTATAATAGAAAATGAAGTACTAATGTTGTCAGCTCAAGAACTGGGGAGAAAAACAAGGAAGCAAGGGGGATGAGGGTGGGAAGAAAGGGAGGGACAAAAGACAAAAGCTCTCTTGAAACGTTTGCTTCTCAGTTAATGTTTCCAAGGTCGAAAATGTCAACATAAGCTACAGAAAATCAGCCTGCTTTAAAGAAATTGCCCTTTAAGTTTCTTTAATGGTTTAAGGACACAAATGCCATTTTTTGAAAATATAATTCATACATATAAATAAAGTGAATATTCTTTCTTTATATAGCTGCAAGATGGTATTACATACAAATACGTTCATTGGGTGAAAACATAAATCTGTACTCAGAAGTCGCCCAGGTGAAGTTATGTGTGAACTTACATGCAGATCTGTACAAACATCTTAAAATAATAACACAACAACACCCAAACACTTGACAGTATTTTTCTGAAGTGCAAGAGAAAAAGACTGTGGTGTTAGAGTATAAAAAGCATAATAAAGAGCTACACCAGTTGTCTGAAGGCTGCAAAAAAATGTGCTCTGACCTATTGCAGGCATTTGTTTTAATTATTTTAGGTTGATTTTTCAAAGTGTTTAATGGGAAAGTCTTGAAACATGCAACATACTAAATTAAAATTCATACACACCATGATGTGCCAGGCCTCTGGGGTTGCCTATTACTGTTGTTATTATTGTTACAATTAAATGCATAAACCATGAATTTCAAAGGAACAGGTTTGAATATATCGACTTCACTCCAAATCCTAACTTCTGTCCCAAATAATTCACCTTTCTCCATTTCTCTTTCACATGCACTCCAGAGAAAGATGAATTGTACCTGTCAGCAGGCCCTCCAGGGAGCCTCTGTGGTTGCCCATTACTGTTGTTATTATTGTTACAATTAAATGCATAAACCATGAATTTCAAAGGAACAGGTTTGAATATATCGACTTCACTCCAAATCCTAACTTCTGTCCCAAATAATTCACCTTTCTCCATTTCTCTTTCACATGCACTCCAGAGAAAGATGAATTGTACCTGTCAGCAGGCCCTCCAGGTCTAACACATGTTATTACAACAGGACGAGATTTATTTCTGTCATCGTGTGCTCCACCTAGAAAGGGAAAAGTGAGAGAAAGCACACCTTCATTTTGTGATTTTTATGAAAACTCATTCCCAAGAGGCAAGTCTAAATCTTGCAGCATGCACATTTACAGATGGTCTAAAAAGATCAAAAAATGGCCAAGCCGTTAATATGAACCTCCACTGAATTTTATCTTAAATAAAATCAACCTACTGTATGGTATAGATGATTCTTTGTAAAATATTTCTACAGAGTGATTCTTAATAAATGTATATTCTTTTCTTAGAACCTCTAGTCTGCAAATCTGATCTCAGTGTGAAAACTTACTGTTCTGCAATGTTTGCTGCACAGAGGAAAAAACATCTGTACTTCAGGTATACTCAGAATAATGAGTGGCCCCTAAGGCATTTATATAGTAAGGAAAAAAAAAAAGCTTTCCCTGAAGAAACAAATAATTCATCATTGGGGTATATTATTTAACAGCTGCATGTTTTCTTCTGTTCTCTAAGTCAGTGATAATACTTTTGTTGTACGATTCAGACTACCAGCACAATTAATCAGATTTCATACCTAATTTATACAAATACTGTATGTGAATCTTTTTTAAGAACTACAATCTTCCTGCTGATTTCAGTGGTAGCAGAATCTGGAATAATTCATCATTGGGGTATATTATTTAACAGCTGCATGTTTTCTTCTGTTCTCTAAGTCAGTGATAATACTTTTGTTGTACGATTCAGACTACCAGCACAATTAATCAGATTTCATACCTAATTTATACAAATACTGTATGTGAATCTTTTTTAAGAACTACAATCTTCCTGCTGATTTCAGTGGTAGCAGAATCTGGTCTTATGTGAAATGAAGTTTGTCATGTTCTTGGCATAGTTCATTAATTATTGTTCTTCCATAAACAAAAATTAGAGCAGGTCATAAAAGCAGTACATTAATGTATGGAAAAAGTAATACATAAATCACAGAGATTTTTACAAACTGTAAGCCATAAATCTTGAAATGATTTATTAGTGTCATAAAAACTTATTGGTTTTTCTGCTGATTTAGAAAATAGACAGTTCAAATTTAATGATAACTCACCTCTTATTACAAATCCAAAAGTGTTCCCCTCTTTATGTAAAGTAACTTCCACAGTTCTAAAGATGAGACCTGATCCTTGTACAGCTAGAAGAAAAAAAATAGAAGAAAAAACATTCCAAAACTTTATTATTATTATTTTTCTAATTATACACACAGATTTGTACCTTTTCCAATTTAAGCTAGCTATTGTGTTTCTGGTCATACAATTGGAAAGAATCCACTACAGAACAGTCAGATTAAAGACCTGTAATTAAATACAACTCATCCTCTTTTTGAGAGAATTTTGGGCCAGATATTTTGCAGGTTGCCAATGGTTTGGAACAAGAGCCATAGATGCATATAACAGATGAGGAATTTGAGCCTTACTGTTTAAATTGTGGCATAATTTTGCTTTTCTTATAGTTACAGAAGAGAGCTAGAAAAGATGGAAATACACACTGGGACACAAAAATGACAAATGAAATTCTTAAAGCTACCTATGAAGTTGGTTGGTCAGCCATGAAAATGCTTATTTGTATTGCTTAAAGTCAAGACAGTTGAGATTTTTATGGTGTATTTCTAATCTCAAATTGCTAGATTAAGATGAAAAAAGTATTTTGCATCATAAGGATCTATTATTTTTTTCCTTTTTCAAAATGTAACATGCTCTCTCATCATTGATAAGTGAGTAAAAAAATCTTTGACTTCTAGTTCAGTCAGTATTTTCTCTGTAAACACTAGAGGAGTGGTGCACAGCTGGGTTAGGAGGTGAGAAGCCTAATGCACAAACCAACACATTTGGGTGTGATAATCCACTTTACAGAATTTGAAACCACCGCTGTTAAGAGACCAATGGCCAGTTTACTCTTAGCTTTTACAGGAAAAACTTTGGCCGGGTGTAAGAACTCCCTTTACCAAAGGGAAAAGGACACTGGGCAAAATCACACGCATGCACACTTCCCAGCTTCCAGTAAGATACTGCAAACAGCACAACACAAATAAAGATTAACCCCCCCCCCCTATAAAATAAATGTTCTGCGAGCAGCAGAACTAATGAAAACTTACATCCTTTAATGCTCCTGCCTGCAATAATCAGTTTCCCCGGTCCCCATTAGGATACCCTGAGGGGGCAGTGGACACAAGAGGCTACACAGCTGGGGAGGCGTCTGCCGCCACCCACAAGCGAACCCCAAGGAGAAGTGGTGCCTCCCCAGTGCTGCCTGCCTCTCCTTCTGAGGACTCCCCTGGCCTGGGACTCTCTCTTCTGCCCAAGTGTCTATTTCCATGAAACATGCTGTAATGTACTTTTTTTTGGAGTCTTTCAATCCCCTGTTAAAAAAGTTACTGCAGGGAACCAGAAGAACAAGCCAGTGAAATCACATAAATCTCATTTCCTTAAGAAAATAGGCAAAAGATGGCCCTCCAAAGCATTGCTTTGTATTGCAGTAATTCCTGCTACAGCTTGAAGATCAAGACCGTGTTACCGAAGTCCACGCGGTTGGTTCCTTTTCAGCTAGAAATGTTTTACTGCCCGAAATTATGAATTATGGGGAGGAGAAGATAATTCTTGCCTTCATTCCTATCAACTGAAAGTGGCCCAGCATGTAGCTTGAGCTGAATCTATGCTTCCTAATCTGATTGGTGTGGCTTGTAACCTCCACCGGGGACAAGCGAAGCCTGTAGCTCAGCAGTGAGGAACAGCACGCAGCGTCCTTCCACTTGGGCAACAACCATTCAGGTGGCTGTCCTTCCACCCCAGCCACAGCCTGGGAGGGGAAATAAGTCCTTAACCTTTAGCAACAAGAAAAGGCAGATATGACGCAGGCATGGCTCACGTTCCTGTTTGAAACGCTGAGGTGGCTCGTGCTGAAAATAGCAGCTGGATGCTCCTGCTGTGAACACTGCCAGACAGGGAAGGAAACACTAGGGAGAGTGGGATTACTAGCGCTCAGCCAGATTTAATCCATCATTATTAAACTACTCACATTTCCCCACTCTGAAACCATGATAGTCCTCTCTCTGAGGGGGCAACCATGAGACCAACAGTAGAATTTCATTATATATGGGGCAGGGAAGGACGTGCTGGGACTTCACCACGTGACCTACTGGAAAACTTCTGCGTATAATGAGGGCACTGTGTCTAGCTTGTTCACTAGAAGTTAATGGGAACAACTAGACTGCTAATTATCTCCAACTTTATTAGCTATGCTTGTATGAAGGGGTCAGAAATTCCAGGGACTTACAGAAAAAAGTATGATTGCTACTGTAATTTAGCATGTCAAAATCCTGTTTCAGTGGGCAAGGGTGGCACATATGCCAAAAGCGGGTGAAACAGAAAGAAGCCCACTTGAGTAAGTGCAAAACAATGCTCATAAACCAACTGCATCTCCAGCAAAATAATTCTGAACTCAGCTGACTTCCTTAACTCAAATACTGTGTTTCTGAACATGAAGTTCCCTTACCACAAATGAACACTAATCAACAGAGAACATTCAAAACATATTAAGGTTGTTGTCAGGAGGTCATAAAAGCAACTAAATACTTAATTAGACTAACTCTCCAGCTGCTAGAAAGCAATGGGGAGTTCATCCTCTTTTGAGCACCAAAGAGAGTGATGGATTTTTTGGCTTCTATCGCAAGGAAAGTCTTTATTTAAGGAGATGAGCTTCCTAGCTGGCTCTGCAGATTTTTCTGGCCAAACACCAGCAAACCACATCTCCCCTCCAGCAAGCAGCATGAAGGAGCACACACTCTTTCAAAGGTGTGACTAGTGTAGCCCCCTTGGTGCCAGACAGCCACCTGCCACTCACTCCTTCACTTTAGGTCCCAGGTTTCCAACTCACTATTTCTCTAGCTTTCACTTCATACCTGATAGCCTCAATTCTCACTGATTTTCTCCTACAGACACACAGTCACAGACATAAGCACAAAAAGAAAGAGCAAAGGAGAGGCAAGGAAAATATTCAGTAGCACTCTGAGACTTCGGTGTCAGCATAAACTTGTATTTTGAAGACAATCCTGCTCGGCGAGAAGCCCTTGTTTCAGTCACACAATTCTTGCAGGTTTATGTATCCTCATAGCCTACCCCACTGGGTCTTCTGCTCTAGAAATGAGATGTTGCCTAAAAGTGATGTCAGAAAAGACTGGAAAAGTCCCGAAGTATGTTGTTGATCTGGGAGAGCGGGAGGGTGCTGCAAGTGGAGAGAAGGAAGGAAAAGGCAGAGGCAGAACTCACAGACAGTCATTGGTCTCATCTCAGAAGATCTTACTATAACAAGAAGGATTCTCTTGCCCTGGAATCTATTTAATCTAATTCCCAGTATTCAAAACTGTAAGCAAACAAACAAAAAATAGTGGAGGTTGACAACTCTGCTCTGCCATTGGCTAGATTTGTGCTCCTAAAACACCTGAGCATATCTGAGAGCATCCCCCTCTACTGCCAGTTCTTTCACACCGCTTCCATGTTCTGCGATAAGCCAGAGGAAAAAAAAAACTTAAGAAAACAACCACTACCAAAAATGAAGATCACCAGCCATGCCCATCTCACTGCTGACAACACGTCTGCTATTCTGCATAGGTTTCAGTTTGCTCTGCTATTACTTACAGACTGGAGGCAGCTCATACTCCACTTCTAAAACAACCCTCTCGCCAACATTCTTGAGCAGGCTGATGATCTCATCATGGCGAAATTTGGTCAGGTTGATTCCATTCACAGATTTGATGTAGTCGCCTACATCCAGCTGGTCACTCCTAGAAAAAAGTACATATTCCTTTTGTTAAAGGCAGATCTGCTGGCCCAAACTAACTAAATCCTTTAAATTACTCTATTGTGATGGTAAGAAATATTTTTTCCATTCATCTAGATTAAAACAAGTTGATCTTTCAAACAGAAAGCGGCATTTTAAGATATTAATCTAGTCTAGCTTGTTAAATATTAAAAGAAGAACACTGTTGCATTATTAATTTCTGATGTACAAAACCAACTGTACAATAAAGGAGTCGGATGATTTGACTGGTTTGGGCACAGGATCCAGGAAAACATCTTCATGTCCTCATCTTTCTCTCTCTCTTTGGGAAGCATCCAAAACTATTTTTTTTGGACAACAGTTGCCTTCACAGCTAACATCACAGCTACAGGAGACAGGCCACAGCCCAAAAGCATATGTTCTGCTCAGTTACGTAGAATGATTTAGCTTAACCTTTATCTTTTGACCTGTTGCACTCATGAATAACAGCTTTTTGGTTCATGTCCTCATTTTTCTCTCTCTCTTTGGGAAGCATCCAAAACTATTTTTTTTGGACAACAGTTGCCTTCACAGCTAACATCACAGCTACAGGAGACAGGCCACAGCCCAAAAGCATATGTTCTGCTCAGTTACGTAGAATGATTTAGCTTAACCTTTATCTTTTGACCTGTTGCACTCATGAATAACAGCTTTTTGGTTTCCACTGTAGTAGTACACAAGGTAGGTATGACTTTAGACTTCTTTTTAATCTTAAAACCAGCTGATGAACAGGTTTTTTTAATTAAATTATGGTAGTACTATGGTTAGGTTTTCAATTTTACTTTTTCCCCTGAGTATTTTATGCTGCTTCTCTCAAGTTTTTGTTCAAGGACACAAAAAAGGACAAATAAAATTTATATAATTTAGAAGAAACTTAATTAGTCTTATGATGACTTTCAAATATCTCATTGGTATTTCTAGTTTTTGTCAAAGTAGCCTTGAGGGAAGAGGGGGACCAGCTGTTGCTGTTTCTCTCTGAGCTTCTCCGGTCTGATGGGCTGCCATTATAGATGCATCTAGTCACGTATTTGTTAGTGACCTTTCTGATGTAGTACGTATTTCTGAAGCAATCACATCTTATAATGCATTTTGTGGCTTGAGACGTGGTTACCTAGCAGCGATTCCTCCTTGACGAAGGTTAGATACTCTTGGTTTCCCATCCTTGTCGATTCCACCCGATACTGTAAGCCCTAGGGTGGTGCCTTCTTTTTTCATTAATTCAACTATTGTTGAGCCCTTGAATTCCTCTGTTGAAAGAAAATTATTGGCATTATTAAAATTTAAGTGATAACACAGATGTTGCCTTTCTGAAATGTCATCTACTTTCCAAGAAAATCAATGTGTATGTTAATAAGAAATAACGCGTACATCTGGAGATTCTTTATGTCACAATTCACAAGTTCTGTCCACAGGCTCTGCATATAGATAAATCTGAGACATATGTTTTGTAAAAGGTTATTAAAAACTACACAAATGTGCTAGTATACTATACAGAGCCAATAAATACAAAGTCTGGCAACACTTACAACTAAAGGTAGTTGTTTCACATTTTAAAAAAGCTAGCTTTTCTCATTTTCTGCTTTCTCCCTCTGAACCCTATGTTTTATAAAGTACTTCAACTGATTAACTAAATAGAAGGGTAAAAGACACAATGATATAACGGTACTAGAAAATTTTAGATCCAGACTCACTTTGAGGCCACTAGTAGATGTCAGTGTTAATCAAAACAACTGAACATAACAAGAATCCAGATGGAGATTAAACGTATCAGATCTTAACAGCTTTATTCCTTATTCTTACACAGATAGATCTCCACTATAACTCTGAAATCTCTGCAGAACAGGTATAAAGTAAGTGAAGGGCTTTCACAGCCATAGTTAGATATAAAATTTCCCTCAAATGCTGTCTGGGACACTCTCTCCTGCAATTTGCCTATTTAGCATTCTTGGAAAATGCCAAGCTAATCTCACAGACCTCAACAAATGCAAGTCACCTGCAATGGAAAGCCTCAAGCTCTCGAAAAGAGTTGTCTTTATTGTTGCATTATTATCTGGTTCTCAGGACCATCTAAGATTTTTTTTTTTAACAAATACTTTGCTAGAACATGTATACAGGGCATCAACAATGCACTGCACTGTGCACAATCTTTTGCCATGTGTTTTGATCTTTTATATAGGTTCTGAGTTTGCAGTCCCATGATGGGGAATACTCTGCTGTCTGAAGTGACATGTAGAACAGATGATCCATGCAGTGTTTTAAGCTAGCTAATAATTATACAGTTCCCTGCAACTACTGGCATGGAAATTAATGACCAGGCTTGCTCCTTCTCACCATCTACTCTGACAAGTTTCTGTATACCTCTGCCAACAGAACACGGACCTCTAAACACTCTTCCTTGGTAGGCAGGAGGGAAAGATGGACCAACCCTGTAAGGGAGTGGTAGTGTGAAATACTCATTGCTAACTGACAAATAACGTCATCTAAGAGTACGCAACAGTGTCATTAGGTTTGCACCTCTCAAAGATTTTGTAGCTTTTGCTGTACGTAATCATAGCAGGAAGAAATTAAACTACCTAAGCTGGTTTGACTTATAAGAGACTATTATCCCTGGAAGTGCTCTGAACCAGGCCCATTTGATACCCCAGTCTCTCCATTTTTCATCTTTGCTTTCTTAAATCGCACATAATTACCGTTCTTATAATGCTATATATTACATGTTTACTCATCTGCATTGCTTTGACATTATTATTACAGACTAATCCCACTGGAGTATTATTGAAATGCCCAATATCAGAACAAACCTGGGACTTCATTTCCAATCCAACAAGCAACCGCATCTGTACATGCTATTCCCCAACTAATGCAAGGTCAGTCTCTGTTCTCTAGTTAACACAATGCTATGTTACTCTTTGTGGGTTAAAAATCAAACCACTTCATGTATCACCTCACTCATAATTCATTACTTATGCCAACCAGCAAACTCTCTAATTAGTTAGAAGTCTCTGGGGCCTGTTCTTTCCTACATGTACTCCCACTATGCTAACAACATTAGCATAGCCAGCATCAGAAGGGAAGGCAAAGAAGTTTCTTCCAGATTTCTTATAATTTATGAGTAAAACAGGAATTGAATTTACAAGCCTTTTGCTTAGTGGTAAACTGAATATAGAACATGAGCTTAAGAAACGTCTTCTTACTCCATAACAGTTTATGAAGTATCAAATATCAGAATACCACACCTGCAGTACAGCTCTGTGATATGAACCAAATGCATTATTCTAAAATGAAACCGTGTAGAGAAAAGATGGTTCCAAGCCTATAAAAAGCCCAAATCAATACCATTTTACACTTCAGTTGGAGAAATGCACTTGAGAACTTCTTCCCTCCCACCATTAACAACTCCAGCAGCACTCAGCAAAATGCAGCTCACACTGGGTCCTGCCTTCCCTCGGCCTGGGGAAGGTTTCGGGTCGCTGGGCGGTGGGATCAGCACCCAGGACTGCTTCGGGACTGCCATCGCTTCCTGCTGCTGCAGGGGCGATTCTGGGCACACATCTGTCCATGCTGCACCAGCCTCCCTACAGCTTTGCTGGCATCCACCTACCTCTGGTAGAAGGCTCAGGAATCTTGCTGAATACTGGAGATGGGCTCAGCAAGGGGAGTGCAAACATGCATACTTGTACACACACACATACTTTTACACACCTGCAGACACAGGATGGAAAAGAGGCATTTGGACAATGCCTTTAATAACATGATTTAACTTGGTTAGCCCTGAACTGGTCAGGCAGTTGGACTAGATGATTGTTGTAGGGCCCTTCCAACTGAAACAGTTCAGTTCAGTTCAGTTCAGTTCAGTTCTATTCTATTCTATTCTATTCTATTCTATTCCATTCCATTCCATTCTATTCCAAAGAAAGGTTCTGCTCCTTTAGGTCTCCGGTCCTGTGAGGTGGAGCATACATAGCAGGTGAACTCTAAAGAAAACATTACGCTGCTGTTGCTTTCTTAATTCCTGGTCTGGATGCTTCTCTTAGGTTCGTTGCTGCAATACCGTAACTGTGTGTGCCTGTCTTGCAGCAGGGTCAGTTGGTGTAACAAGATTCTATTCCAAAGAAAGGTTCTGCTCCTTTAGGTCTCCGGTCCTGTGAGGTGGAGCATACATAGCAGGTGAACTCTAAAGAAAACATTACGCTGCTGTTGCTTTCTTAATTCCTGGTCTGGATGCTTCTCTTAGGTTCGTTGCTGCAATACCGTAACTGTGTGTGCCTGTCTTGCAGCAGGGTCAGTTGGTGTAACAAGACTATGATCTGCCCTGCAACCTAGAAGACTACAGGGATACTCAACATAGGACAAGAAAACTTCAAAGATAAGCAGGTGCTCAAATACAAGACTGGGCAAATCTTACTGTAAGAAGATGCACAAATGGAACAACTTGCAGCTAAGTAAAATCCAAGAAACACCATGTCAAATTAATTTTTCTTCAAGGAAAATAGTATCATGATGAAGTTCCTAGAATTTTATACATGGTCAGACTTTTTGTAATTTCCTGCCTTTTGATGTATGTAAATAACATGTTTTAATGAATAAAATGCATGGAAAATAAATTGACTCATGAGATTTTTGAACCTGGAATATATTCACTTCTTCAAAAAGAAAATTAAATACTAAACTACAGAAGAGATTTTTTCACAGAAGAACATTTGAAAGCTGAGAGAACTCTTAATCAAAAGTTTTATCGTCTATTTTCTATATTCCTACAACTTTGTATCTGAATTTACTTATTAAAGTAAAACTGAAAAACATTTGGCTTTATTCCAGATATTGAGTGTCTTCTCTGTCCCTTCTATGAAAATTTCATTTTAAAATCCAAGAAAACTCCTAAAATCTACACAATGAGGTCAAGTGCCTCTACCCTCCACCTAGTGAATGAGTTTGTTCAGTGCAGCCCAAACAGGGCATAACCCAAACTTAACCTAAAAGTAAAAAAATACTTGCTGTTATTGATTGTTTCCTACCAAAAGACATACATAATCAGTAAGTAAGTAATTGGTAAGTCTGTTGAAAATACAGTCAATGCTGTCCTTGTATGGATTTTCCCTGTACGTCAGCAGCAATTCTGCAGAGGAAACATTTTGCTTCACATTCCAGTAGGCATCTCACAGCTTAATAAGAAATCACATAAAGATAAATTCAGTTAAGAAACAGATAGCAGTTTGTTATACTGGGGACATCACATCTACTCAATGTTTCAAGTCCTGCGGGTAGGTGTATTTCTCCGAGTGTGACAAGAGGGATGTCAAGAGATGATGAACGTTCCATTCCTTGTTGCCCTTTTCCCGACTGGCTGTCACTAACTCCTAAAACACCTAAATTTTTATTAAAAACAAGCAAACAAAACCACAGCAGTGAAGAGAATCTGAAAACATGAAGCTGACCTCAACCTACTCTGTGCCATCTCCTCCAGCCTGTCGAGGGGCAATCCCCATAGCAGTCCTAGTTCAGAACCCAGCAACCTACAGCAGAAGACAAACTGGTATGAGGTGCATCAGAGCACATCTACAAGGCACAACACACTGCAGTTACCAGTGGGACTGTAAATTTAAAACAACGCCAATGCAGGTTGCCTTGGGTTGGCGGCCGGGCTAACGTGACTCTGATAACTTGGATAAATGTTGTACAGGTGAAATGTTGTACCATTTTCAGTGAAAGCAAGGGAGATGGGTGAGGCTCGGGCACTTGCAAAAAACTGCCTAAAATAGACTCAATTTATACCGACAGCTATTTTGGTGGTGTACAGGGCATTAGACAATCCTTTTTTCCTTTTTTTTTCAGCTATAAGAGCATCTACGAGATGACTTTGCCACTGCAGAAATATTATCTAAAAAACAAATACCTTCCACCAGCGTTTACAAACTGGAAAAAGTCTGACTGTTGCCTGGTCTAGGCATGACATAGAAAAGCAAATAATGATATTTTATAATGAACCACAGGCTGCGATACACAGGATGTGATCACATAACTCACTGAAAACACCAGGCCTGCAGGACATGGCAGCATAGCTCACATCTGGGTTGGCTGGTTTCCCACCTAAAAAGAGCTTAGTTCTTGTGCTATTTGGTTTTGGGTACGTTTGTCGTATTCTAAGGCACAGAAAGGATGCCTTGGCAGCCAACTCTCTCTAAACCAAAACTGAGGCATACAACAGGAGTGGTCTTCAATTTAGCGTCAAACATAAACATTACATTTG